TTACTGTTGCAGTTGGGATGGAGGGAAAGCAAAGGTGAGAGACATAAGTAAAATCAGAGTGTCTAGGAAAAATTAAAGGGAAGATATCCTAAAACTTCCAGGAAATCTCCACCAATGAAGCAAAGAAAAAAATGCCTCTATTATTCTGTGAGCAACAAACCAAACTGGGTTGGGGGTCTCAGACAATTCGCTCATATGATTGCAAAGACAGACAGAAACTCCTGGATTGGAGAGGGCTCCCCTGAGGGGTCCCAGATTGGAGAGGGTGCAGGTCGGGCTGAGGGACCCACCCCCCCATGCACGAATCTTCATGCACCAGGCCTCTAGTATCAATATAAAATAATTTGGGTGCATGAATTTTGTCTCTGAAAGACAAGGCTTCAAGCCAATTCTGTCTCCTAAAGCAGACCTTATAAGTCTGGAGAAGAGACATAGTTCAGCTTCTAAGATTTGTCTTTCCAGAAAAAAAGAAATTAGGGAAAGTGACTTGCAAGCTTTCTTGCTAATGTGTTGTTTCTTCAGAATTCAAATCATGATGTTTCTTAGTAACAGTCTAAATTCCTCTTTCTTTAGTTCCTAGGGAGCAGTTTCTGTGAAAATGTAGGATACACAAAATATAGGATTCCTGTGGTGTCAAGTGTACATTTATAAACAAATGGTTTCTTGTCCCTTTTTTCAATTCAAATGATCCACTTCCTTTAGCATTTCCTCAAAGAGCTAGTTTCTCAAGCTTCCAACCAAGTTTTATTTCTTTTGCTCAACCCTGCACGTTTTACTTAAATATGCACAGAACTAAAGGTGCAGAGGTGAAACAAATATTCTAATAAAGTCATATCTCGATCATTCTTGACTATTCACCTTATATTATGTTTGCTTTGTTTTCATTTCATTTTGTTTCCACTAACACCATATCATTAACTTGTCATTAGGATCACAGTTTCTTTGCCTCAGTTCCCTCAGTACCATTCTAGCTGCAGAGTTTCTAAGGATGTCTACCAAAAACCAGTGAAATACAGATTTAAACTAAGTCAAATATCACATGATAAGAAAAGGGCATTGATTTAAAAGTTAAATTACAGCACATTTAGAATTTTTAAAATAATTACATGATTTAAAAATTAAAGGTAAAAAGACATGAAGTGAAAAGTCTCTCACCCATTCCACACCTAGTTAATTCTCCACCCCCAAATAGATAACCACTATCTTGTTTTATGCTTCTATAATTAAATACAAAAATATATCCTCCCACACATTTTACCAATACAGACACACAAATATGAACACATATTTATTTCCTTTTTTTGTTTTACAGAAATTGTTGCATACAATAGAATTTTCCTGTGTCTTCCATTTTTGAAATACATGTCAAAAATTATTTAACTCATTCATTAATAAGGAAACATTCATTAATAAGTATGATTCATTCATTAATAAGTATGGTGTATAGCTAGTTCAAAGTACTGCACATTTGTAGCAGATAAGGGAGGATGAAATGAATCTACAAATAGACACTAAATGGGTCAATAATCAATTGCATTACACCAGGCACAATTAATTTGCATTTCTATTTCTATGTGTAAAAATGTTGTCCATTAGTATGAGGTTTTTACAACTTACAAAGTTG